ATCCCGGGCTGGGGAGGGAGGGAGGGAAGGAGAGAGGGAGGTTGTGAGGTTTCCCTCCCCAGGGCAGGTTTTCCCGACTTTTCAGGACTTAAACCTACTCACAGGCTTCAGTGAAATGCCGGAAATTCCCTGTCCCTGGAAATGCGAGGAGAAGCGCCAAAGCAGAGGCTGAGAAGCCCTTTTCTTCCGCTGGCGAGGGGAGAAGCAGGGGGGGGGTTGCTTGGCAAGAGCTAGAAAAAGCCCTACAGAAAGTTAAAGGAGGAAATCCAGCCACTTAAGCATTTTGTACTTATGGGTTTTGACAGCTGATATTTTTTTTTTTTCTTCTTTTCTTAATAGCTTAGTCTCGCTGAGCCTGCTTCTCCCTCCCCTCCCATCCCTCTGCTCTTTGGGAGCTGCAGGAGTTTCATAGGTGATTAGAAAATGAACCGTTCTGCCCTCTCTCCAAGATTTATTGTTATTAATATCTGCTGGTTTCCCGGAGAGCAGGCTGAGAAGGCAGCGCGGGGCGTTTGCTCCTCTAAAGCACCACAAACGTGAAGGAGAAACCCAGTGCCATCCATGGCTGTGGGTCCGTGGGGCTGGGTGTCTGTCACAGGTTCCTCCTGTTGGACTGACACCGCTTTGGGACCATCCCAGGACTGCTGGGACCATCCCAGGATTTATTGCCCTGCTCCCGAGTTGGGGGGTTCCTGCAAAAATCCACTTTCTAAGAGGTTTTGGGGAGAAGCATGGTGTGCGTGGGTTGTGACACCCATGGGTTGGTGTCACCCGTGCCAGTGTTGGGTCTGGGCAGGGTGGTGGAGGTGGTGTGGGGCAGCGGGGGGGCTGCTGTGTCCCCACACACCGTGTCTCGGGCAGACCCAGTTGCGGAGACGTCATCTTGGTGTGGCTGGAAGCAGGAAAGCGCTGCAGCTGATGCTGGGCAAATGTGTGTCTCTCTAATTAAAAGGTTTTTAATGACAGAGGAGGAGAGAGCAGCGCGAGGCAGGTGATCACTGGAAGGGCTGGTTATTGCAGACATGGAGCTGGTTTTGCCACCCTCATGTACCTGGTGCTCCAGGACCCGGGGGATGCTCCAGGGGATGGGGTCGGTGGCTCAGGGGCCATGTCTCCCGTGGTCCTTCAGGCTTTGGGAAGTGGTGCTGCTCCCCAAGGATTTAGCTCCTGTTCCCCTCCCCTGGGTGCTATCCCAGGGGGTGGCAGGGGGCCTGGGGCAGCCAAGAGGGTCTGAAGCACCCTGAAAAGCAGCAGCAAGGGTGGTGGTGGGCAGCCCTGGCTGCTGCTGGCTGGGAGCAGCCTGGTGGGCTGGAAATGTGATGTCAGAGACCCAGCAGCTAAATATAGTCCCTGGACGTGATCAAAGAAGGCAGGGCCCCTGCACCCTCCCACTTTCCTCCTCCCGTTTCACCCTCCTGAGCTTTGGAAGAGGAAAACCTCTCCTTCCTCTGGCTGTTTGGGCTGTGCTGGAGCAAACAGCCCCACTTAACGGTGGAGATTTTGACCTGGAAGCAAAAGGAGACTTTTTTGGGCACAGCGAGCTCAAAGAGCGGCAGCAAGGAGGGTGCAGGGGGGCTGTGCATGGATGTGACAGGTCTGGGATGCTGGGGTCTGTTTGGGGTCTGGCAGCCTCAGCAGCCTGGGCTTGTTGGGATTTTCTCCTTGGCTGCGGCTTTTTGAGAGAGAATAAAGAGCGGGAGCCAGGAAGGTGTTTTTTGGGGGGGCTTCTTTCTCAAAAATGTGTGTTGATTGCCCCTCTGCTCACACCACTCAGTGACAGCGGTGGGACATTGTGGCCCCAGAGTGCTTCTCAAAGCCCTGGGACTCAACAAAGGGGAAACTGAGGCACGGGGGAGTTGTCTGACCTGAGCAGCCACAAAGTCCCAAATAATGTCCACGTCCCATGTTCTGCTCCTGCTGTCGGCTGTCCCCAGGGGCAGTGAGAGCTGGTGGCTGTGTCCTCCTCGGTGCCAGTCCCCTCCTGTGCTGGTCCTGGGGGAGCTGACGTGTGCTTCCCTTCCCCTTCTGGGAGGAGGGTTCAGTGTCTGGCAGCTCTGCTGAGGGCAAAGTCCATCTTCTCCAGCTTCCTGTGGATCACTCCAGGAGATGGGCACTGGATGGGGTGGGGAATGGGGTATGGCCCTGGAGGATACTGCAGTGAAGGTGTGTGTGGAGAAAAGAGTTTAGTGCTCAGTTTTTCCTGTGGGCAACATGGAGTCCCCTCACGAAAAGGCATGTGGAGGTGTATGAACACAAAAACTTTACTTCTGGATGGAAATTTTTTTTTTCCACTAGTTTTTAGGATACTGAAACTGGACTCTTCTTCTCCCAGCAGCGTGCTGAACTATTGCCCTTTCCTTGCTATCAACCAAGGCAATAGGTGCTAAGCTCATGCTTTGCTCCCAGAACGTGTAGCTTCGTGTGACACCCCATTCTCTGGGAAAACTCTGATCTTTTGGGTTGTTTCTCTCTGTATTTTAGCTGTCTTGTAGCATGTGTGTTGTCCCTGTGTAGATGACAGTTTGGAAGAGCTGCTTGCTACCACTTGGCTTTCTTCTCTCCTGTGTAAAACTGCAGGGTGCTTAAGCAAAAAAGGATGTGGCCATTATGGGGACTAGACCTGAACCGAGTCCGCTGTGACCTGGTCTTCACAGAAGCCATCAATCAAAGGATGCAGGTTCCCAACAGGCTGAAGGTAGCAGATGGCTTCAGCCCTGTGGATGAGGAGCCAGTGACAGAGGATGTCCCTCCTTCCTTTCAGATGTACATCCCTGACAGGATTTCTCTCGCAGGTAATATCCTGGGTTGTCTTTTGGGGTGGCTGAAGGTTGGTGGAGCTCCACAACATCCTAGGGAACAGGACCCCTTTATAAAAAGTCCCCAGTGGTTTGCTTTGCAAGAGGAGAGGACGGGGGCAGATATTGCAGTTAGCTTTCTTCTGGAAGATAGGGTAGGATAGGGGAGAGATGCTTCGGGAGAGGTGTGCAAAGGTGACCAACAGAAGGCAGGAGGGGTCTTTGCTCCTAAAGGTAAGGAGCAAAATGTGGAAGTATCTCCCTCCACATCCCTTCCAGTTCCCTCTTGGCCTTTGGTAGGCTCCCTGCTTTGGGATGCAGAGACATACGGCCCTGTCTCTTTGAAAAACAGCTCCCAAACCTCACTTTCCTGGAGCAGTGTGTCTGGTTGCTTTCTGGTCCGTGCCTTTCCAGGCTGTCCTGCTGCTTACACCTGGGGGACATGGTTTTTGATGTACATCTGGTCACAGACAGAGGGTTGACTCTCCTGCGTGGGTGGATTTCTCTTTCCTGTCCTGAGGGCACTCAGGTTGGTTTAATTCTTCTTTCTTTCCTCTCTGTAGAAATATCAGATGCCAGTTTGAGGCCCGTCCTGCTGAACCAGCAAAAGAAGGTCCCCTCTGTCGTGGTGCACATGTCCCCGGACACCTCTGCACAGCCCACCCACCTCGGGGAGCTCCCCTTTCTGCACGTACCCAGCAGATCAAGCTCCCAGAAACGCAAACGATTGGTACCATATTGAGAGCGGACGGGGGTTGCCTGTGGTGGGAAGGGGAACAATCCCAGCATTGGGTTTCTCCAGAGGTCTGCTATCAGCCCAAGCCAGAATTCATCTTCCAGAGAGCTACCTCCTGGTGGTGTACCAGCTACCTCTGCTGGTGTAGGGGTGGTGGGATTTCTTTCTGTCCCATACCTAGTGCACACCTATATGCTAAGACATCGATTCAGCCAGATCTCCAACTGCATTTTCTGAGCAGGAGATAGGCTGAGGTAGGTGCAGTCCCACCACAACCTCCTTCTGCTACTTTTGAAGTCCCTTTTGAACCACTGTTTTTCTTTGATGAAGTACGCAATGGAGCTGTTATTGCAGCATAACGGGTTCTGGTGTCAGAGTTGAAACAGGATTTTAACCTTTTGTGGAACTAATTCAAAGAGAGGCCCCTGATATGGGCCAGCAAATGCTTGGTTTGGCTGCTGGACCTGCTGATCTGCCTTCTCGAGGACTTTCATCTCCCTGAGATTGAAAAGCCATTCCTGGATATGTTAAGTTCAGGATTTTTGATCCAAATAAGGGACAGGTCAGAAGCTTCTTGCTGGTGACTCTCACCCTGCTCTGAGGATGTCTCCCCAACCCACTCCAGCTCGTTGGGGCTCATGTAGTGTTCCCACCACAGAGTGCTTTCCCTGGGTACACGGGCTCCTGGTGCTCCAGACCACGCAGGATACAGGGCTGGGCTCGCCTTGTGTGGTGTCTCTGCCCTAACGTGGTTGTGTTTGATGCCAACAGGGCCATCAGAGCAGCAGGTCGCGGCGGGAGAGGACTCCAAGTGACTGTGCCCAGCTGGTCTTGCACAGCCCAGGCCAGCACCATGAGCGGTGAGCATAAGTCAAAGCTTTCTGGGGTGGGTGGGCATCAGCATCTCCTGATGTCTGTGCTGCTTTGATGCTCTCAGGTGTCAATGCCCCGAGATGGGGAGGGTATCCAGATTGGGGCAAGGTAGTGTCTGGCAAGTCCTGCTCTTGCACAAGAGGAACAAGGCTTCTGGTGTCATCAGAGAAGTTCGTGCCATATGACAGAGATGGTCCCCAGGGTGATGAGCTCTCTGCTGAGATGCTTGTGGGAGAGCACGTCCCCTCTCACAGCAGGCTGGGAGCAGTGTCAGTCCTTCCCTGGCCACTGGGCCAAGAGGACCTTGCTGTCTGCTTTGAATTGTTCTGGTCTCTCTGACGCTGCCCATCTTCCTCTTGGTGCTTTGCAATGTGCTCTCCTGCTCCAGCACCAGCGTGGCTCAATGCTGGGGGCTATGGGCAGGTGACCACAGGCAAATGAGGCACCAGGACTTCACCGGGTTTCTACAAGGGTTGTTGAAACTTGGGGTTCCTTGCAGACAGGGTGGGCTAAGAGCAAACTTGCTTTTCAGCTCTTTGAGTGAGCAGTAACATTATGATAGTGATCCTTGCTCATGGTCTTGGGCTCTAGAGTCTCTCCAATGGAGAAATTGTCTCTAACAATCCCAGAACAGAGACCTTTTTCCCCCTAGAAGTCCAGGGTTGTCCTGAGGGGCAGGAGAGCTGTCTTCTGCAACCCCTGTGAGAGCAGCTGGTGAAGGTGTGGTGATCACACAGCTATGGTTGGCTTTGGAAGAGTCAGGCAACTGCCTCTGAGCCTAGGGGCTGCTGGAGGGTGTTCTCCCACATGGTGACATGGGGGTCTGGGTGCCCATGGCATTGCCCAGAGATGCTTGGAGCTGCTGAAGGGATGAAGGGCGCTGCCAAACACCAGGCTGTGCCCATGCTGCAGGAGGCCAGGAGATAACAGGCGTGATTCTGTGTGCACCCCAGGCCAGATGTGTGTCCCCTGCCCATGCGTGGTGCCCCGCTCCCCCTCTTCGCAGAGACGGGCAGGATCTACTCCATGCAGAACATCTTCCAAACCATGTACCAGCTGGGCCAGGTGCTCTTCCACCGTGTCCAGAACTCTCTGCAAGACCCGGTGCCATCCAGGTGACTTTGGCTCATCTTGAGCCACCTCCCTATCACTCTGCAAGGATTTGGCTTTGCCTGGCTGAGGCGTGAGCTCTGTAAACTGCAGGCTGCGTGGCGTGGGAGCAGGATGGTCCTGTGTGGCTCCAGACTCTGCTCCTCACCTGTCCCTGGGGTGCCTGGTACAGCCAGCCTGGGTGCACCCTGCTAACCCAGCCCAGCTTGTGTCTTCTGCTCAGCTTAACACGGGTCCCCAGGGCACCCCGAGTGATCAGACGCTGCCTGGGACCTTGCTGGGATTTCAGCCGCTCTTTGCTGCTAAGAAAGTACTAATTTTTCTGCATATCTTGGTAGCTCGATGGAGAGAAAGGTGTGAAGGGAACCAAAGTGCAGAACAGACTGCCTGACCCAGGTCCCATCCCTGAGACGTTCTCTCCTGCAGGCTCCCAGCACCCTTGGCTCTATCTTGCTCACTCTTAATTAACCTTTTCCATGAACTGGCTTCACCCAGTTACTCATCCCGTAGCTGCTGCCTCCAGGCAGGGTGCAGTGTGGCTGCGTGCTCGCTGGAGCAGGTCTGCAGTGACCTCAATCTCTCCCGAGGTGCTGGAGCAACTGCCTCCACCACCTTCTTATCTGTGGAAGCGCAGTAAATTGAACGCCTTCAAAGGTATCGTTGCAGCCTTAAGGTGTCCCCACTGCTCTAAGGCTGCTGAGCACCAGGAGGAACATCTAAATACTTCTAATTCTCCTTGAGCAAAGCCTGCAGGCGGACTGGGAGGAGAGCGAGCATCCATCATCGGTGCCGTCAGTGGCACATCCTGCCTTCCCTCCCCAGCTGTCTGCCTGGGGATGATGCAAAGTGATGTCCCTGCTTTTAACTGCAGTAGGCTGACTATTTTCAAATGTTGTTTTTTAAAATTGCTTTTTTTTTTTTTTTTTTTTTTTAAAAAAAGTCTGGGCATGCCACCAGATCTGGTTAGTGGCTACATAAGACCTTCTCCCTCTTCCCATCAGCAGTAGAGGAGGTTTAGGCCAAGGTACCAGGAGAGGTGGGAGCTCATGGAGCTGCTGTAATGTGGTGGGGTGAGTCCCAGACCCTTCCCCAGGTCTCCATCTCCCTTTGAATCCTTTGAAACGCCTCTTCTTGGTGTTCTGCATCACGTAAGGTACATACGGTATCTCTTCAGTAGGACAGCTTTGTACCCCTATGCAACAATAAAAACAAAAAAAACACCTGACTGAGCTGATTTGTTTGTCCTGTAATTTTAATAAAGAAAAGTCTGGTCTCAGACAAAGGCTGGAATATTTGCCTGACAGTGATATCTTGAAGGGTATGAGTCACTGGAAGGTAATTTCTAGTCTCTAAAGGTTGGTCACCTGTATCAACTGGGATTTTTCAGGCAGAAGCTGCAGGATGTGTCCTTTTTTAATGGCTCTGCGCTGGGGGAAATTGGATTTTTCTCTCTGTTGTGACTTTCATTTCACTCCGCAGCTACATTACGTGCAGGTATTATCTCACAAAAGTATTTTCAGGCAGTATTTTTGGCGATTCACCGAATCGCCCCATGCCGTTCTGGCTTGTCTTCAGCAAGATCAACATCGTGTTGATTCCTGCAAAGGGGAATAAATAAATACCCTCCCCTCCCTCAGGTCTCAGAAGGAGTGGTGTCAGATGCTCATTAACCCCTATGTATCTGCAAGTTACTGGTGTGCATAGAGGGGTTGTGATTTCTAGAAGACTTGCTGCAGCAGCCTGTAACGATGGGAACAACAGACCAAACGTAGCAATTTTGATTTTTCTCGCTTTATTTTGTGGCTCGGTGCTGTGGGCCCTGCAGCAAGGCTGTGTCTCCAGGGGATGCCCTGGAGATCCCTGGTCTGTGTTGCCTCTGCCAGCGCAGCAGGTAATCCCACTGGTGGCCCCTTTGTTTCTAGGGATGGAAGAAAGTGGCACATGCTTGGGTTGCTTGTTTATGTTTCAAGTTGCAGGTGAAATTTGCTGGAAGAGCCAAAAGTGATACTTTATTTTTCTTTTTGTCAGGGGGGTGGGGAAAGTGAGCTTTGTGGTATCTGGAAATACAGGAGAGGGGCAAATCCTTGTCTCAGCAAACAGAGGACCCTCTTCTGCTGGCTGCTGCGTTTGCTCAGGTAGTTCCCCCCGGTTGATGGCTGCTTCCCACCAGTAGGATCCTCCCCTGCTGATGGAAACGAGATCACCCCTCCGTTTCGGCATTGCCCTGTGATACGTATTTACCTGACGGGCTCTAGAGATGGTTTATCCAACCCTCAGTGAGTTCCTCTGCCTGTAGAGAATGGATGCTCGGTAAATACCACGTTTTTTCTCTGTTGGACCTGTAAAGAAATACAAAGCATGTGTTTTCCCTCTTTTTTTTTTTTTTTTCTGCCATGGCATGTGCTGTGTGTTTCATTGTGATCACTATGGGGTGCATGGTGGAGGGGTATGAATATGCACGATGGGGGTTAAGAAGAGCTGAGCAGATGCTGTGAAGGTGCTGTTCCCTCTCTCCTGATGCTGCATCCACATGGCCCATCCTGGACATGCACGTGGTCCCTGCATGGCTCAGCTCCCTGTGGCAGTCTGGGGGAAGGTGGCTGCGCCTCTCCAGCAACGTTTGTCCATCTGCATCTCTCTTTTCCTTCCCCAGCTCCCAGGAAACTGGCCCAGCCCCAGTGAGCACCTTGGAGGAGGTGGGGATGGCTGAGATGGCAGCGATGCGAAAGCAGGTGAGATGGGGGTGAAGGGCTGTGAGTGCTTTCCCTGGGAAAGCCATGGGAGGGTGGGTGAGGAGGCTCTGGGGGGCTGTTCCCAGTCCTGATGGGCTGCCCTTGCCAAGTTAGTCCTGGTGGATGCTGCTAATGGAGAGGCAGGGGAGGACTTACACATGTGTTGACCCATTAAGCTCCTCTCCTGAGGCTACAGGAGACATCCAGACCCTTCCATCTCCCTGAGCCCTTCTGATGGGAAGGACCTTTTCCTGGACCATCTGCTCAGGAGCTGCAGTACTGCTGCTAATTCTCCCACACCAAGATAGCTGTTTGCTCTAGAAGAAGAGGACCTGAAGGGGACGGCAGCTCCCATCCCTCCATACCTTGCTGTCCCACGCCTCTGGGGTGTCACCAGTGTCCTGCAGTTTGCTGCAGGGCTGATGGTGGCCCTCACCTCTTCCCTTGCAGTTGACAAGGATCTCGGGGAGGCTCCGCATGCTGGAGGAGCAGTGCGATGCCTGGCGGCAGAAGGAGGCCCTGGTCTACTCCGTCCTGATCTCCGCCTGCCTCATCAACACCTGGCTCTGGCTGAGGAGATGATGTCCCGTGCCCTGACCTCCCCTGCCCAACCCTGGCAGGGTGGGCGAGGGCGGCAAGAAGATCCGTGCTTGCGTACTTGCAAACAGTAAAACTACGTGTTTCTTCTGAGAGGATCCATGCTTGCAAACAGTAAAACTACGTGTTTCTTCTTAACTTGACCTGCTTTTTTGCACTGTAGGCCCTTGAGGATCTGTGTCCTTTAGGCCCTGATCGCACTGAAGGTGCCATCCCTCTCCCGTGCTCCAGCATCAGAGGTGGCTGAGGGAAAGGATAAAGCTGGACCTCGTGTCACAGCAGCTGAAGAAGGGGTGTCAGGGAGAGGTGGGGTACAAGGAGTGTGGCCCAACAGGTGTAGTCCCAGGGCTGGAGCTGTGGTTGCAACTGCTCTGTGTGCACAAGCAACCATCTTGTATGTTTGATGGGGTCAGTGCTTGTGTGGGAAGCTGCTGTGAAGACCCCAGGTCTCATAAGAAATTGGCTGATACAGGGGGTGTCTGTGTACAAGGAGTGTGGCCCAACAGGTGTAGTCCCAGGGCTGGGGCTGTGGTTGACCCCAGGTCTCATAAGAAATTGGCTGATACAGGGGGTGTCTGTCCTGCGCAGAGCAATGGGAGACCCTCTGGCCCTTGGGCTGTCAGCCAGAGGAGATGCAAAACCAAGGGGCTGTGGTTGCAACCATCTTGCATGTTTGATGAGGTCAGTGCTTGTGTGGGAAGCTGCTGTGAAGACCCCAGGTCTCATAAGAAATTGGCTGATACAGGGGGTGTCTGTCCTGCGCAGAGCAATGGGAGACCCTCTGGCCCTTGGGCTGTCAGCCAGAGGAGATGCAAAACCAAGGCATTGGGTGTTTGTGGGCATGGGGTCTTGTTACAGTCTTAAGAGTGTGGTGGGCCTAGTCCCCTGGCTGCTTCCTGGCTGGGATAACTCAATTCTGACCCCATGAAAGTCCTCAGCCAGCTGCTGTGATCTGCTCCTCATCTTCCACCCCAAAAAGCTTGTGTAGAGTGCTTGAGTTTGGGTTTTCTTTTCTGCTTTGTGCAACTGTTCTTCGGTGGAGGTGGTACTGCCAGTTCTCCCATGCCATAGCTCCTGCTCCAGGAGGCATGGAGCTGGAGGAGCCAGGACCTCCCAGCCCTGGGAGCTGCTGTGCCACTGTCTCCTCAGCTCCCATCCTTCTGGAGGCAGTTCAGCAGCGGGTTTGCAAATGTTCAGATGCAAAGTGACTGTAAGAGCGTTGCTGAGGTCTGGGCTTATCCAGGAGCTTGGCTCTTTCCCAGAGAGATTTAAATGGGAAAACTCCCCGTGGTGACTCTCTGGATTATCAGACCTTGTACCAACAGTGATAGCACCAGACAGGCCATGGAAAATTGCCCATTTGGGCAGCAGTAGGTATTTGTTAGGTTGCCAATACCAGAGGGCAGGATCGCTCCCAGGTCTGCTGCCAAGCTCTAACTTCAACGATGGTGCAAGAACACAGGTGGGGGGAATTTTTGGCCCAGATGCTCTTTAGCTAAAAACAAGCCCAGTTCAACAGCTTTTCAGTTTCTCTTTTTCTGTGGAGTTTAGTAACACTTGCATCTGAGGTGACTTTGAGATGCTTTTGTTGGTTCATCCAGCACATTTGCTGGAGTTGTGCTTGCAGACTCTGGGGGCAGGTGTTGGCTTAACAGGACCTCTCTGTTCCACCTGTAAGTAATTGTAACTGGGTCTGCAGGTCATCCAGATGTCCCAATGGCTTATTTACAGACATGGATGCTTGGGTGTTTTCTGCCTGCAACAGCATCAAGCATCCGTGGCTGTAAATCTGGCAGCTGGACATCGACTAATAAATAAATGTCCCACAAGTAATTGCAGGTCTGAACCTGTGCCTGGTAGCTGGGCTGAGGAGAGCGCTGAGATTTATTGCAGACGAGAGCCAGGATGGTGTGGTGGGCTTGGCGTGACGTGCCATGACACAGGGGACGTGTGAGGGACAGGAGCACTGGTGCAGGGGTGGTTCTTGTGGCTCAGGGATGTGGTCAGGGTCACCAGGGGACTTTACACAACAGGTCTATATAAGGAGGCTGCTGCTGCGTGACTCGTGCCAGGAAAGCAGGTAAATTGTTTGGCTGGTTTCTCTTCTTTGAGAGGCGCAAATGTGTGTCAGAGGAAGCTTGTGGTGTCTTTTTATAAAGCTGTATTTTAGGGTGAGACGGGCTGACCCTTTGGGGGATGCACCACCTTCAAAGTGCGGACTGAAGATGTTTGGAGGAGAGGTGATCAAACTGTATGTGTTCTCAAAGGCTGATTATTGTCAGGTTGTAGGGAATGCAACGTGACTTTTATGTAAGTCATAAATCTTGGTGTAAATCTGGAAACACTGACACATAAAATGTGTAATTTAATAAACTGTGTGTTCTGGACGTGTTTCTTCTACTGACCGTGGAGTCTGACCCTGGTATCCCAGTGGATGGGAACAGGTAAGGTTTATTCCCTTGGCAGCAGGACTCTGACCTGGAGCTGGATGTCTCAGCCACGTGGATTTATTTAATCAGATGCTGGATTTCTGGCATCTCCAGAGCTACAGAGCTATGGCCCATTTGGCCATAATGGTGTAAAGTATGGTGTAAAACACACATGCTGGGCACCCTGGCTGGGGGTGAATCTGGAGGAGGAGAGTTTCTGATGAATGCCATCCCTGTTTCTGGTGGACGCCCATTATTTGTTTCCTTTCTCTCTTCCCTGCCTCCTCCTCCTGGCTCTTCTTTATCCCATGGTGGCACATGTGGCAGGGCAGGGTGTCTCCTGGGGTCATTGCCACAACGATGTGCACGGAAAATAAAGACTCTTGTGCAATACGGTGCGAGGGAGCTGCCAGGGAGCAGCTCCTGGAGTTCCCACGTCGCTTTTTGAAGGCAACTCCAGGCAAGGAGCAAAGGGAGAGGTGGGAGAGGGACACGTCCTGGTCTGTGAGCTGTGTCCTCAGTGCCTGGGTCTGTGGTGTGGGGACAAGAGCAAGGTGACGTGTCCCTCGGTGCTGGGTGCTCACCCCGGCAGCCCCAGCCAGGGCTGCAAAAAATCCATTTTTTTCCCTCAGGCTCCCTGCTGTCCAGGTTTTCAGTGAGATCAGAACAAGCGGAATTTAAGTCTTTGAAGGTAAAAAAAGGGAAAGCTTTGATGGTGAAGGGGCTCCTGGTGCTGATGTTTTCAGATGAGCCTGCACACCGTGCAGGGCTCCCTGCGCCCGGCAGGGACTGATCCAGCCTCAGCCATAGCCTGCACACTGTGCAGGGCTCCCTGTGCCCGGCAGGGACTGATCCAGCCTCAGCCATTCCGAGGGGCTGGGTACTGGAGGAAGTGGGTAAAAACTGACCTCTTCCTTATTGCCTTGGGGATGCAAATTTTATGCTGATTGGTTGTTAGAATAAGTTTGTGAACCAAATACAAGGGCAGAAATCGGTGAAAGATGCATTTCATGATCACCTTCAAACTCTGCAGCTCTCTTTGTGGGGACTCCAGAGCAGCACATTTCGTCTTCTGCTCCCTCGGTGTGAGAAGAGGTGGCTGGATGGGAGGATGTTCAAATGTGGCCACATCTGCAAATCTTCCATCAGGGCAGTAGCTGTGGCACAGCCTGTGAAGCAGGGTCACCAGCTTGGGTTTTCCCTAGGGCAGAGGACTGGGAGAGGGGAGCAGAAGCAGGCGGCCTGGGAGGCAATCCCACTATGTTCCCTCCTGCGGCAGGACCTGAGCCCAATTGGGGGTCACCGTGCCTGTCCCCAGCTGGGCAATAACCCTTCCCCAGGGTTTGGTGGGGACTCAGGGGCTGCTTGACCCAGAGCTGCTCAGGATGGCTGTGATCTCCAGCTGGGTGAGGAAGTGGCTCCTTGGTCCCTCCAGCCGCCAAGGAGGTGATGGAGAAGGGGACAGGTGGGGAGGAACATGGAGCATCCCCGAGCAGTGCGTTTCCCTCCTCCCCTTTCATCCCCCAGACACAAAAGCTGGCTGCTATTTACTCCTCTGAAGTGCGCTTCGCCACTCAGGGCATCAAGGATGCTCAGGGGATGGGCGTGCTGTAGTGACGAGGCACACGGGCACACGCGTGTGTGTACCCTCCCCCGTGCAACGGGGAGACCCCTCTGCCACCGCCGGGGTGCCACCTCGCCTGCTCCTCTGCTTGGGCAGGAGCTCAGGGGGCTCCACAGATGCTGGCTTTGCTTTAAAAGCCTGAGTGCTCCGGAGCCAGCCCAGGGGGCTCCCGGGGGAGGGCTGCTCCCCAGCCACCCTTGGTAGGCACCAGCCAAGTGTTGAAGGCTTCAGGAGGACACCAGGCTCGTAAGTGGACGGTGGTGGCTTCTCAGCAGCAGCTGTGTGGCCCTGGGGAGGAGGTGGCCGGGCTGGGTGTGCATGACTGTCCCCCGTGCGTGCGGCGTGGATGTGGTCTCTGTGTGGTGTTGGTGGAGCTGTACAAGGCGTTGCCTTCCCCCGAGCAGAGCCTCGGTGGTCTCCAGGAACCTGCCTCGTCCGTGTGATGTGGGTACGGAGGGTGTGCTGTGCCCTGGGGGGAGCGGGCAGGGTGGGAATACATGGTCTGGGCAATGCCTTTGTGTCCCTGCATGTGCAAATCTGTGTTTGTGTGGGGTGTTTTTGCACGGTGTGGTCTATGCTGGGGGTGCAGCAGAGCGGTGAGGGCTGCGTGTGGTGCTGGGGAAGCCCCGTGGGCATCTCTCACTTCTTAGATAAACAAACCCCAGAGAAATCCCACACTTAACAGCTCCACAGCAGCCTCTGCATATTAATGCAGGGCCTTCTCTGCTGCTCTCTAAACCCAGATGGTATTTTTAAATGGCAAACCTTAATTTCCAGCACAGGGGAGATTTCTGCTGGAACAAGAGGTGGGGCTCACTGGGCAGACCACCAGCAGGTTGCTGTGCCCTGGAGAAAGAGGGCAGATGCTGGGATGAAAACACCTTTTTACACACAAAGTCTACCCCATGCTGCTGCACGACAGCATCTCCTCACCAGGGCTGGCCTTGCATTCCCTTACAAGTCTTATTTTCTTCTCCTTGGGCTGGAAGTGGTGGCAAGAGCCATGGGCTTGTTGTTATGGCACGGATCGCTGGGGATGCTGTTGCCCCGGCAATGTCTGAGGAGGCTGAACGAGGAGGAGAGCATCTTTCATGAGCCATGGGCAGATGTGGGATCTCTTGGGGAGGGCAAAATGGTTCTGCAGGATTCTTACTGCGGCATCAGTGATGGCTGGTGGTGGAAAACATGGGGTGGGCACATCCCATGGGATTTGACCTTCTCTCTTTCCATGCTATGCCATGTCTCTGGTCCTCAAGAATATGGTTTAGTGTGTTGGTTTTTTTTTTTATTGCTTACTTCGTATTTATTTTTTTGTCAGAGTTAGGCTGATGGTTGGACTAGATGATCTTTAAGGTCCCTTCCAACCTAGACAATTCTATGATTCTGTGTTCCAACCACATGCTGTGTCCTGCATAGCTCTTCTTGTGGCTGTTTTCTGCTCCTTGCAGGTCACTGGGGCAGGGTGTGTGCCCATGCTCTCCTCACATGGAGGATGACGGCCAAGAGTAATGGTCTGCACAGCTCACCAGCCAACCACCACCCCTGCCCACCCACCCAAGCCCGAGTGGAGGGTGACACAGACGGGACAGGACTTAGCACCAGCAGGTCAGGCTGGTCCCTGGTTTGGTTGAGGGAGGCAGCGGTGGGGCAGGAGAGGGGAGGACCAGCTCGGTGTGTCTGCTGAGACCTGGTGTGGGCAGAGCTGCGATGCCAAACCCCAGCTGCCCGCTTCCTCCAGTTCCTCTGGCTGTAGGCATGTGCCAGGGTGGCATGGTGTGGCTGTGACCCTCTCCCCTCCTTTTCCCTACTGCAGGACCTGCTCAACCCAGGATGGTGCCTCCTCAGAGCTGCGGAGAGGGGTTCCCCTGGATCAGGAGGAACAGCCAGCTACCTCTGCTTTCCAAGGCAGGGGAGCCTTGGCCAGGTATCCATGTGTGTGCTGCTGGCTTGGGGTGAGCCCAAGCCTTTTTGTGCCTGGCTGTGACACCGGGGACTTGTGTGGGGTCAGGATTCCCTCCTGCTGTGTGGCCTTCAAGGGTTGCAGGGACCAGTGTCTGTGAATGCTCCTCTGGTGCCCTGGTGCCCATGGAGAGGGCTGCAGGAGGGGACAGCTCCATCACCTCTGGAGTCCTGGGAGGGCTCAGGGGCTCCTTTCCCTTGGTGGCAACTTCAGTCTGCCCCAGTCACCCACACGTTCCTTGTGTCCCCGTGGGAATGGCAGCAGGACAGGTGAAGGAGCTGTGGGTCTTTTCCAGGCTGGGCTTTCTTGCTCATATATTCTTGGTCCCACACATCACTACAAGGGTTAGGACAAGAGGAAATGGGCACAAACTTGAATATAAACACCACCTAAACATGAGGAGGAGGAACTTCTTCACTTTGAGGGTGGCAGAGCCCTGGAACAGGCTGCCCAGAGAGGTGGTGGAGTCTCTGTCTCTGGACTCAAACCCAGACTCAAACCCCGCCTGGACAAGTTCCTGTGCAACCTGCTCTAGGTGGACCTGCTTTGGCAGGGGGTTGGACTCGATGATCTCCAGAGGTCCCTTCCAACCCCATGTGATTCTGTGAAGGGTGGGGCAAAAGGAAATGTTTGGGCTTGAGAGGGAGCTGTGAGTTTTCTTCTCGGTTGTAGCCCCCCTGCTTGCTCTCATGCTTTTGCTTCCTCCTTGCCCTGCAGACACCTCCTGACTCTGCCTCTCTCCCCCTTCCAGGATAGCCCGGCTGGTGCTGGTGCTGAGGGACTGGGCCAGCAAGAGCTTGCACGAGGAGCAACAAAGGCCAGACCCCTTCCTCGAGCGCTTCCAGGGCCCTGAGCTTCAGACAGTGGCTGCAGGAGCTGGCAACGATCTGGAGGATGAGGAGACAGAGGAGAAAAACAAAAAGTAGGGTCCCTTCCCTATGGTCTCAGCCATCCTTGGCTGGAGATCAGCCCATGGTGCTCGGGGGCTCCCAACAGCGATGGCTGGTGGAGGTGGATGGGGATGGGAATGGAGGAGGTAGGACGCAGTGGTGGGAAGGGTCCTTCCTGCCCTCTCCAGCCCTTGTCCTGGCAGCCAGCCTGGCTTTGCCGGGCTGTTGTGCAGGCACATAAGACCTGCTAGTCTGTCCCTGTGGAAAAGAGCTGGCCTGTCCCTCACCTGTGGGGTCTTCTCTCCCCTGGTCCATGCCCTGGTAGGACACACTGCATGGCTCATGAAAGCTAGCAGACCTCCCTGTTTCCAGAACTGTTCAACACTAGGGTTGGCATTTGGAGCGAGCCTTGGGTCTGTAAAGAGATGCACCTTCAGGTGGGGACGAGCCAAGGAATGCAGGGTCTCCAC